ATTCTTCTAACACTTACACTTAACCTCCAGAAATCGCAGCATCCTCGACCATCCCAAATTAAGAACACTCAACAAATATGTGCTGAATTGATTTGAATTTTCACAAAGGTGTGCATGGATGTTTGAGTCGTTCTTGATGTAGATCTCAAGAGCCAGAAGACACAGTATGAAAAACATATATACAATGAAACTATATCCGAGAAAAATTCAGTATTTCATTTAGCTATACAGTGAATAAGCATCAAAACCAGGCTTCACAACAAAGTCTCACTCTAGTTTCTTGTTCCTTCTATTCCACCATTCAGCCCCTTACTGAAAGGGCTTGGATCTGTGCCTGAGCCATGATCTAAGTTTGTACAATTCCTGCAGTCCTTAAGTCTGTACTTCATACTTACCCTATTTTAAGCATGCTGACAGCTGTCTGCTCTTCCAAACCTCAGTAAACACAAGACCAGTCTATTAAGTGCTTTTACTAGCCAACGTTCCCCACCTTATCTTAGCAGCTATGTGCTCCATCCCTCATTCCTGCCAATTTCAAACTCCTCCACCGATACCACAGCAAGCTTCTCTCCCAAATGTTACTCATTAATTTGTGTAGCCAAAACAGAGCTGACAGAGCGGATCCTGAAACTCGGAGGAGTGGTATGGATGATCTCTTGAAAGACTGTATTTTCTAGATCCCCAAAACAGATCTGTCAAATGTCAGATGCTGAGTACAATAGATGAGATCTTTTGAAAATCAGATTAAGAGGTAGGACTGGGGTAGGCATATCTTAGTGCTTAAGACACCAGTTAGGATGCCAATGTCCACTATCAGAGAGCCTGAGTTCAGTACCCATATTCTGCTCCTGACTCCAGCTTCCTGCTAATGCAGACACTGGAAGTCAGTAGTGATGGTTCAAGATATCGAGTCCCTCCCAACCACATGGGAGACCTGCATTGAGTCCTGGGTCATGTTTCTACCTCTGCCAGGAGTTGTTGCAGGCATTTGGGGAACAAAGCAGCAGATAGGAGATGTAACTCAAATAAATTAATTTTAAAAAATTCAGGATGAGGCTAAATCATGTTGCTCAACAAATTTTTTCATCAGTTAAAAAAAACTTGGGGCCAGCGCTGTGGCATATCCAGTAAAGCCGCCATCCCATATGGGCACTGGCTCAACACCCAGCTGCTCCACTTCCAATCCAACTCTCGGCTATAGCCTGGGAAAGCAGTAGAAGATGACTCAAGTCCTTGAGACCCTACACCCATGTGAGCGACCTGGAAGAAGCTCTTGGATCCTGGCTTCAGATTGGCCCAGCTCTGGCCATTGCAGCCATCTGGGGAGTGAACCAGTAGATGGAAGACCTCTCTCTCTCTGCCTCTGCCTCTCTGTAATTCTTTCAAATAAACAATCTTTAAAAAAAAATTAAGGTACTATTAATAAGTCTTTTGATGAATGCCTAAGGCTATCATTTAAATCCAATCAAGCAAAACATAAATATGTTTATTTCATAAAGAGATTCTCTACAGCCCAATGCAAAAATACTATTAAGTTTCTTAAATGGACCAAAGAGGTATGCCTTTAAACAACTAAATTATAATGGATAGTTTAATATTTAGTAGTGCTCTGAGTTAACAGGATCTTCTCAGAAGAGATCAACATCACGTTAGAAACCTGTGTATCAAGGTAGTATCTAGAAAATTATTTGAGTCCAGTCTCCTGAAAGAAGGACATTAACTGTTTAGGAAACTGCTGGTTTTATGGACACCGATAAAAAGTAAACTAAGAGGATAGAAGGGAAACAGCACATACTGAAGAGGGCCATGTTCAGATGGAAAAGGAATGTGTTGTACTCAATTTCTAAAACCTTTTCCATGATCTTTGTCTTCTGTACATCAAGAACAATGTAGATAACAGAGAGAGGGAGAGGAAAAAGAAGGGTTTGCAGTTAAGTACAAGGTTAACACTTGGCAAACCCAAACCCAGATTACCACCAAGGGTGACAGGAGGGGGCAGATTCATGGCTGTTTCTTCCTGCAAACTTTTTGAAGCCTCAGACTCCCTGCCTACACATAATTCCTGTCGATATTCTTCCCTTAACCGCTCGTGCTCTGGTCCTCAGAGATCTTCTCTTAACCTCTGTGTTTACTCCATTTCTGGAGAGGTAGAGATTTAGCTGACAAATTTGAGAATAACTGGTGTTTTCTGCCTAGCACATTCTTCCTCTCGGGATACACCTGTCTCATAACAGCATGTTACACTCTGCTCCTCCTCACCATCAGCTGCCAAGAGCAGAGACAGAATAGGTGATGCTGTGCTTAAAGGAAATCTCTCTTCTCTCTTCCTAGATGGCCCATATGAACCTTACTTGGCTACCCAAAAATCGCCAGCCTCCTGCCTTATGAGAAAGCCAAACCAACAGGTTTGCCTGACCTTGGACTATGAATCGCCAAAACCATGAGCCAAAATAAAACTTTCTTCATTAGTAGCTTGCCTTGGCTGTTTAGTTACAGACATGAAAAGCTGACTAACAGCCAGATAAGGGAGAAGTTACTTCCTTCTAGCTATAGAAAGCTATAAGAGCAACTTGTCTAAATAGGGAGTGTGCACCATGCTCCCAATCAAATATACTCTTTTATTAGCAGCTGAGGTTTTATTTTGTTTCCTATTATGTTTCCTTTATTTCTCTAATTATTCATAACCTACGAAAGGAATATGAAACATTCCTTTGAAAACCTACTACTTGGAGGATGTTATTTACAGATATTGAAAAATCAGATGAATAGAATTTGAGCAGTAACATATACAAAGGAACTTCAAAGTCTCATAAAAATAAAACTAAAAGGCAAGTTAAGAGCTGGCGCTGTGGCATAGTGGGTAAAGCCACCATCTGTAATGCCAACATCCCATATGGGTGCCAGTTCAAGTCCCAGCTGCTCCATATCTGATTCAGCTCTCTGCTATGACCTGGGAAAGTAGTAGAAGATAGGCCAAGTCCTTGGGCCCCTGCACCCATGTGGGAGACCTAGAAAAAGCTCCTGGCTCCTGGCTTTGGATGGGTGCAGCTCTGGCCATTGCAGTCATCTGGGTGTAAACCAGCGGATAGAAGACCTCTCTCCCTTTCTCCCTCCCTCCCTCCCTCCCTCCCTCTCTCTCTCTCTCCCTCTCTCTCTCTCTCTCTGCCTTTCCTTCTCTATGTGTAACTCTTTCAAATTAATAAATCTTTGTTTTAAAAAAGGCAAGTTTGATTTAAAAAATTTAAATTCAAGCAAATGACAGCTTCAAAACAATATGAAAAAAGTATGCATAGATGAGAATCTGGCTGTAGACAAGAATGCACTGGAACAGAGAATCTGAACTCTGAACTTGTTTTTCAGACAACATTCCAGGAGAGCTTATCTTGCAACACCACAGAGACCATCACAAATAAAGAGTAGTTAAAACTCAATGTCAGGGAGGCGCTGTGGCGTAGCAGGTAAAGCCCCCATTGGAAGTGCTGGCATCCTATATGGGTGCCAGTTCGAGTCCCAGCTGCTCCACTCCTGATCCAGCTCTCCAGTATGGCCTAGGAAAGCAGTAAAGGATGGTCCAGGTCCTAGGGCCCCTGCACCCACACGGGAGACCCAGAAGAATCTCCTGGCTCTGGCCATTGCAGCCATCTGGGGTGTGAATCAGCAGATGGAAAGCCCCTCTTTCTCTGCCTCTGTCTCTCTGTAACTCTGCCTTTCAAACAAATAAATTAATCTTAAAAAAAAAAAAAAACTGAATGTCAGCAGTTTGTGTCAGATATTCCTGGCCTAAGTTAAACACTGCAGTATTAAATTCTCCACCTAGGGTAGGAGATTGCCACCATTTGCTAAACACACAATGTATGAAGTTCTAAGTTCTTACATAGATGAGCAGGGAACTCCTTCCCTCTCCTCTTGTGTTACATCTTGGACACTCCCATAACTCTGGATATAAAAACACCACAAATTGCTTCTCAGGGAGGCAATTTCTTCAAGAAATTAGACCCTCCCACTGTCTCCTTCACTTATCACAAGCAAATAAAGGTTCCCTCTGAGCAACTCTTGCTTGGGGCTGACTAACCGGCAATACCCGAAGTGGATGGACCCCTTAAATCTGGTAACACTGTGAGCATTTTAAGTTTGGTTGCATGTGGAGCCTTGTGGTAGGCCAGATTGGTTTACAAAGCAGTGAAGTTGGCCTAGGTGAGAGGTGTTAGGCCAGTCTGTGCACCTGGATGACTACTGTGGCTTATAGAGTCTCAGCCACCAAATACCACTTTCTGTAGAGCCCCAAATGCCCTCTGTGGGCCTTTGAAAAGATTCAGTAGGCAACTTTAAGCACAAGAGCACTGGAACCTCAGAAGTGTAGGCTGCCTCTCACAGGGACAGCACAATCCCTATAGAGATTTAGAAGTTGTATTGGCCCAATGCCAAGAGTCTAACGTAACTCCATGCTAAGAATAAGACATACACAAGATTATCATAGCATTTGTGTCACTTATTTTTGAAAGCAAGTCAATCACCAATCATTACAGTAGTTATCCTAGGAAACATCACACTCTTAAAACACAGCACTTAAAGTCCTCAGTGGCCAAGGAACACACTGTTATCCGAGACACGTAGATTGAATATCCTTGGGTCAGCTTGCCCTTAATGCTTATCAGTCATCACCCACTTTCTGAAGTCAATTAGCTGTGACCTTAAACCCAATTCATAAAAATCCCCCTACCACAAACACACCCCCATACACTGCCAGAGGCCTTAGAGAGTGGGGTCAAGATGGCATGAGTCAATTGTGCACAACAAGCACAATTATGATGAAGTGTCCTTTTCCACTGGAAGCTGCGGCAGTGTTTGAGCTGCCTTCTACCACTGGACCCTTTCTTCTAAGACTGAGCTGCTGATGTTGGAGAGGACACCGCAGAATAGGATGTGCTGCTTTTCAACTATTTTCACAGCATCTGGGTTCCAGTGTGCTATAGGAGTGTTTGCATAGTTCTACCTCTTACCTGGTATTGCCAGGCCAGTGTAGCCCAGGCCACACGGGCTGCCCAAAATTCCATTCTGCAATTTAGCCTGAGGAGGGAACAGTGGACACCAGCCCTGGAACCACGTGGCTCTTCTGCAGCTGAACTTGTGCTGCTTAAATCTGATGTAGACAGGCAGACAGGATAAAATTTGATTAATTTGTGAGCTGAAAGACCATGCCCTCAACCATGCCTGTTTGTGATCTCATCCCCCTTCCTGACCCCACCTGTATGCCCACCTGCCAATCAGGCTATGCAACCACTCCCCTTTGGAAGTGGATAAAGGGCCTGGAACACAGTGGACCCGGCCCTTTTTCCCCCTCATTGCCCTTTGTTGCCCTTACTGCCCATGCCTTCAAGGCATGTGGCCTTTGGGCCACCCACTCCCCATTTTCCCTGCCTGCATGCTTGTTGCACAAGGCTGGCTCTAGGCCTGCTCTCTGTGTGGTATGGATCCTAACTTAACTTCCAGACTTTTTCTCCATTAGATAAAGCCCTCACTCTCCTACGCATTTCTCTCACTGAATAAAATCCTTAAAACTTACCACGTGGTCTGGTCTATTTGAGCCAGTATTCAGAATTTTTCTCTGAATGCGTGGCAAGAACCCACACAGCTTATTAATCTCAGGAAATAATAAGCAAAACGGTTTCAAATCCACAAAAATGAGAAACCATCCCTAGAAGCGAACTTCCTTAGGACTAAACATTCACTGGGGGCTCAGGCCTGAGAAGTGACTATGCACAGGAATGTGGACTCAAAGCCCCTAGAGGGAGCCCTCACTCAATCAGTCCTGAGTGCCAGAAATGCATTGGAAGGAGAAAAGTGAACTCATCAGGCAAAGATGAAGTCCCCTAGTAACAATGCATAAGACCAAAATTAATACTTTCCTAAGAGTCCTCCCAAAGAGATTAAGAACACAAGCTGTTGGCACACTGGCATCTTTGGCAAGATGAAACCAAGACTTTCTTTTTCTTCAGAAATCACTGAGTTTCTACCATGTCTTTGACAGCATTAGGTATCAAGTTCAGAAACTCTAGTATTGTCTGGGGTAATTAACTTAATGCCTGGGAATTGGCTTATTTTGAAACAAGTGTTATGGGGTCAAGGCTGTAATAATTTTTGTGACTACCTCTTCAGAATCAGTAATTTAATCTTGAACCTAGCTCCTTTGGAGCTCCACGGTAACAGTCAGCCTCAAAGAATTTCAACCCTATCAAGGCAAAAAGAAATCCTCTGGTCAAAGCTGATCCAGACAGAAATCTGGCAGACAAAGTTTGTATCTATTTTTCATAATGTGCGGGCAAGTTGATTAAATTAATTTCTTTGATGTCTGTTATTTCAATTTAAATTTTTGTCCCGCTTTTTGCCATAGAAGTTGAATATGAGAGGACTTCTATTTAAATTTGGGTTATCACTGGATCTACCTTCAGGCATTTTCTTAAGGGAATTTTCCCATGTCAGAATTAAATCTGAAGACAGAATCTCTGTCCTTTTGTAGTGGACAAAGAGGTAGGAGGGAATTCAGCATGGGAAATAGAATAAGGAATTAATTTTAGGTTATTGGTACAGAGTGGCCTTTAAATTTACTAACTAGTACATTGTTAGATCCATTTTTAGAGCCTGCTCACAGACCAAATATTTACCATCCACTGATAGCCCCAGAGATTACAGCCCCAGAGGTTGATTCTAGGAAGCAGCCTCATACAAGTAAGCACAGTCTGTCTTTGGAAACTGCTCTCTTTTCCCCAAGGTGATTAGTGACAGCCCTGGCCCAGCAGGGAGGCAATGGCTAAGGCCAATGCTTCCAGGGAATGAATTTAAATTCCCAGTAATGTCAAAGAGGAATACCCTTCTCTTAACTTCTGTCTCCAGGAATAGGATTTCCCCTGTACACTCTCCAGGCCAGCCTGTCTCCTTATTCCCATGGGTGCTGGGGAGATGGTCTTTGATTGACCACTGAATTTTATAAGTAACTATGCATACTTGAATGGGTACCCTTCCTGGTCTTGGTATTTACCAACTCTGTAGAGTGTATATTTTTTCTGTTCTTTCGTAGGCTCTGCTCCTCCAGAACGCACCTCTAGAAAAATTCACTCGCCTTTACAGCAAGAAAGTCATGGTTTCCACCTGGTCTCCACCAGCAAAGCAGTCTATAACCACTGCCTTTTTATTTTCAAATAGTTCAAAACACTATTGAGCAAAAGGGTATTATTATTCGCCTTCATCAGAAACCTCAACAACTACTAATTGATATTTCTGTCCTTAAAGCTTTGAGTCTGACTTCAGGTACTTCAAAAAGTTCATGGAAAATGGAATTAAAAGTTCATTTTGATGAAAAAAAAAACAAAATTCTTGCAAACAAGGGGTCTTCAAAGCATTCGTGGCAAATGCATATTATGAAAAAAAAAACACTGATTTCAAAAGTCTGTAACAAAATAAACATTCTTTAATTCCATTTTTCCAAAAATGCTTTGAAGTAATCCAACAATTGTATATGCAGGACAATATGCAAGATGCTGAGACACACAAGACAAGAACACTGTCTGGGGCCTGTCTTCCCTCACAGAACTTAGTCTAAGCTAGGCCCATCCACCCCATGTGACATAACCTCTCTCTATTCCACACCATTCCAAGCTGATTTGCACCGGTTGACCTCTTCTTTCCAGAGATCATCCTTCTCCTACTTAGACAGAAATCTTTGATTTTTCTTACTCCTCCTTTCAATTCATGGCTATGACACTGCCTTACATCACTAAGCATTTTAATTTCATCTCGATTCCATTACTGGTCTACTTTGGCTCTGACATCTCATGTGGGTAATTCTTTCTATTAAGGGCTGTCCTGTGTTTGGTAGGATGTTTGGCAGCATCCCTGGTATCTGGCAACTGGATGCCGTATCCTATATTCTGCCCTCCCTATTTATGGGGCATCTCTGGGAATTTCCAAAAAGGCAGCAAAATTGTCCTCAGCTCAGAATCACCATTACTACACCAGGATACCATGTCCTGGATGATCATTGCACTAAACAGCTGTTCAAAGCTTGGTTACAAGGGCCTGATTAGAAAGTGAATGCAGCACATTACAGTTGACTCAGCAAATAATTCTTTAAAAATTAATGACTGACGGAGATAATACATTTAAAGACTGATATTAAGTAAATCAGAAGCAATGCTAAACTCTAAGCCACCTAAATTAATACTGAAGTGCTAGAAATATTTTTTTCAGGCATGATAATCCACTAATGAAAGATTTTCTCCCACCAAAGTCATAGTCACACTGATTACTGAGCAAATGATTAAGATTAATAAATTCATTAAGAGGTGAGAATATGGAAATGGAATATACAACCATATTCAATTAGAAGCAATTTTAAGAGAATTTTATTTAACTGTCAATTTACGACCAACATCTAACAGTTTTGCTACTAAGCAAATTAGGAAGAAAATGTAAATTAAATAGTATGAAGGTATACTTTCAATGAAACATGGTCTTAACAGGATATGAATATACAACTTTAGTGGTTTTATTGCATTGTTAGAAAATTATTTTATGAAAGATACAAAAAATCAATAATGTTATTTATTTATTTTACAATCAGTAATGCCATCTTTTACCATTATGGCTTTAAATTTTCATTCTACCCAACAGGTTTCAAGAATAGTTTATTACATGCCTTAATAAAACATTTAAAATATTTACAAATTCAAAATAGATGTTCCAGAACTGAAAATAAGTTCACCTGAGAATTCATTTTAACATTGCCATCTGTTGTTTTTTTTTTCCAAGTTGTTAACATGGCTGTGTCCACATGCAAACCTATATCATCTACTGCATCAAAACTGGTTAAGCATTAAGCTATCATAAATTGTTATAATACTTACAGATGGAGAACCAAGATTATATCCACATTTGTTTTGAATATAACAATTTAAAAAAATTTTGCTCTAGCTACAGAATGCAAATAAGAGAAGCAATTTTAAGATAATGTTTTTTACTGACTCAGACATAACAGCTATTTAAAAATTATCAAGCATTGAGAAAGTCAGTTCATAAAATAAGGAACAATGATCATGTAAATATACAACAAACAAACTGAAAACAATAGTTTCAAGATTCTGCATGAAGGAAAAGGCATACACTGTATACACATAATCCTGTCATTTGTCTTCGGCAGCCTCAAAGAAAAAATATTGCCTTGAAAGAAATTTTCTTAGAAAAAAAGTCTCTAGAAGTTAATGTTAAAATAGGCAAAAATGTGTAATGCTATGCAATATATAGAAAACTTTCCCACTTTGTGGACAAAAGACAATGATAAATTCTTTTTTATCTGTCCATCTATATTACAACTTGAAAATCATGTAGGTATGAGGTAGTGTAGGTATTTGTATTACATGCTGGTTATTAAAAGTAATGCTAAATTTTAAGAAATATTACATGTGGCCAATAATCAGATATCATTAAAATAAACCCTTAATGCTAAACTTTTTATAGTAGAGAGAAATTTAAACCAAGTGCCTTAAAAATTATAAATTCTGGAGACAACTAGGTTTTACCATAAAATACTAAGTAACCACCTTTCAAAGCAAATATTTACAGTAGCAATTAAAATTTAGCCAATTATTTGACATTTGCACATACACAAACTGATACGACAGAGAGCTGAGATACAATGAGGTAGGAAATCAAGGATTCTATTGGCTTGTATAGATTTTACATTTTGTAAACCAGAAGTTTTATATTGTCTTATATCATGAAGTTGAAATTTCAAACTACAAGGATAAAAGAAAGTTAATGAGGATACCTAGATCTACATCCAGATATTTACAATTGTTTTGTAGTATGGGATACATTATCATAGAATTATTTTCCCTGAAAAATTGAGTGTACTTATGAAAGTCTCCAGAAAATAATCCTAACTAAGTCTCTCTTACAACTAAGTCAATAACAGAGATAACATACAAACTACTAAAAAAATAAGCAGTATCTTTCCATACCCACACCCTGATGAAAAAGGCTAACAACTGACAGATTATTCTGAAACATTAAGAGTGGTCCCCACATATTCTCACAGCAAAGGTCTACTTGCTTCTGACTCATTCATATAAGATGGGTGGTGATCTCCCAGTTTAGCTACTCAGGCTCTTCACAGACAGAGGATGCAGTCTGTAGTAATATCTCTTTCAGGTATCTGGTCTTGGAGAAACAAAGTACTTTTTGTTCCAAACATGATGAACTAATTTTGTACACTTTAAAACTGGGTTCTGCAAACGTTTCTACAAATGTGAATATAGGTTGAGTATCCCTTATCTGAAATGGTTAGGACCAGAAGTGTTTTGGATTTTGGAATATTTGCATATATATCTTATATATATAAGATATCTTGAGGATGAGACCCTTGTCCAAACATGAAATTCATTTATGATCTCATATAGATCTTATACACATAGCTTGAAGGCAATTTTAAAAAATGTTTTTAGTGTACTTGCATTTTGACAATGACCCATAACACTGAGGTCAGCTGTGGATGTTCCACTTGTGTTACCATGTCAGCACTCAAAAGTTTCAAATTTTGGAACATTTCAGAGATTTCTCAGATTAGGGATGCTCCATTTCTACATTCAATTTATTTTTAACTGTTGAGCAGATCCATAGTTTTCATTTGAGTTTTGAACATGTCTACAATTCCAGAATAGCTAAGAAGTACTGCAAAATATTATGAGACAGGTGCTTAGGTTAATTTTAAATTCGGGAAAGACAATAAGGATTAAACCTGGTTTCTAAGTGCAAACTCATAGGGCAACAAGATAGTTTCAACCTTTTTTCAAAAAATGGCAGAGCTGTTATAAATACACTTTTAACTAAAATTATGCTTTTTATAAGTAAACCACAGGATTTAAAAAGTGGGATGAAAAATGAACTGAACTCCAAGTAAATGTAGGCAATTTCTTTCCCCTTGATGCCTGGTTTTCTCGCATTCTTAATCTATGATGGGAAAGTAAACAGCCCTGTATGTTGGGAAGGTCTCCCAAATTCCAGGGAGCCCATGATAATTCTGCCAGTACATCTACTCAGGTAACTCCATCATAAGTCATTATTATCAGGAAAAGGAAAATTTACCATGGGTAAAAATATGGTAGAGACTATATAAAGGGAGAAAAAAAGAGAGGAAATGACACTTATATATTGTTATGCAGCCAAAAATTCTACAACTAAAATAGAAGAGGAGCAGAAGCCCCCACCTTAGGCCAACCCTGTTTACTAAATCTTCTCTGAGTGGCTTAGGAGTCACAATGAAGTCCACACAACCTCTGGTCTTAGAGCTGAAGAGCAAAGCTCTAGCATTCAGGCAAGACTGCAGATGTACACATATATTTCCAATAAGCTGACACAGTATTTCTGAATAAAACAATTCTATTAACATTGATTCCAGTGAAATTTTCTTTTAAATCAGTATATCGTAAAAAAAAGTCAAATTATTAAACTTCTGCAAGCCACTTCTTTGGTAGAATCTATCTGCAGATGTTTGCAGCTGTTAAACTGATATTTTAAATACTGGGAAGAGTTATTACTATAGTTATTGCTTAAAATATGAGTTTTAAAGGCCTGCTACATTTTCACATGTGATTTTTCAGTATCCTGGAGGCAAATCATTTCTGTGTCTCCATTGCTGTGGAAATCAAGGAGAAATCAGGGTTGACTTAAGAGAAATTCTCTTATGGCAAACTACTAGGGGAAAAAACAACATTGGTGACAGATGGCCATATTAGGCTTTCAAGACAATGCCAAAACTTCCACAGAAAATTAGATGATCTGAACGAAATGAATACAAATTTACTCATCAGTTGTACATTTATCAGTCATCTGCTGACAGAAATCTGAGATCCCACTACTCTGACGACACTGTTCCACAAGCCCGGCTTGCTCAGAGATGGCTGTGGGAGTCTGCTGAGACTCCTGCCCCCGTACAACACCAGGCTCACTATTCACTCTCCCACTGGGAGGCAACACAGCTGGACGCCCATCAGATAAGCTAAAAATTGATGGTAATGCATGTTCACCATCAGAAGTACTTTTTTCTTTTTCAGAAATTAAAAATGAAAGTGGGCAATCTGAGGCTGAGTACTTGGCAAGTATCTGTATTTGTTCTTGACTTAGAGCTGCTTCTTTACAGACTTGCTGGCAGAGTCCAGTTAGGTTCTGCTTTGTCTCACCCAGAGTTGACAAAATGTGATCTCTTTCCTTCAACAAGCTCTCCTTTTCATTTTGCTGTGAAACAAGGGGAAGATAAAATAATGACTATGGTTATTAGCTCAATCAATATTTTTAAGGTGATCAAACATTCAATATTTACAGTGTCTTCTCACTAAGAAAGACCAATTGGAATTTTTCAAGTTAATCTAAATATATATTAAATGCCAAAAGTCCACAATTAATTATCCAAAACCCTTGGAGACAGATTCATCTTGGAATTCAGAATTTTTCAGATTTTTAGAAAGATAGAGAGGGTATACAAATAATCCCATTAGCCATTCTGAGGCAACACCCCGCTATCAAACATTTTTACATTTCTAAGTAAAATAAAAATATCAAATAATGCACAAAGTAGAATAAAGATTCTATGTAATCAGTTCAGGTCAGTCTTTTGGCCAAAAGAGTTTGTGACAAACTTTCATAGTTTTTAGAGCATTCCGAATTTGCAGACTACAGATAACTCAGTATGAATAACATTTTTGATGGGATCTGATTATAAAAGCATAACTTCAATGAACACAGCTTAACTACTGAGGCTCAAATCATTGCAAGATTCTATGAATGACTAACATTTTTTGCAGTTATTTTGTACTAGACATTGTACTTAACGTTTTCAAATATACAATCTCAGCATATAATCCACACAATGATTCTGTTAATATTAAACCCATTTTATAGATGAGACTAAAAGTTCAACATGTTCAGAGAAAGAATTACTAAAGTGTGAAAAAACTGGGCCTGGAGAAGGAAGTAATTCAGTGTTTGTTAACTACTGTATTTCTTAGTATGTTACCCCCTAAGAAAGCCTACCATAGAATTTGTATTTCTTACTATAATTTTTAGATGTTACCCCCTAAGAAAGCCTACCATAGAACTGTTCAAGTTTCCTTTCTGTCCATGTCACTTACAGTTGCTGATAGTGTAACTTTTTCAATCATCACACTACCTCATCCTTCCTATTTTATCATCTTAGTGATTCCAATCTATTATAAACTAGGAAACCAAATCATCAAGTTATAAGATAAAAGTAAATAAATGCTGATATAAGGTCAAAGGTTTCTCTTGCGCAATTTTTGACAATTCTCTTGGCAAGTCAGCAGTCTTGTTCTGCTTGCTCTTACAGGAGAGTTGAAGTTGCAAGTTTACACTGAGATGGGTAATTTCATAGTGCTAATCTATAACTACCATCTTTTAGAGTTTCTTCTGACTCTAAAACAGCTAAAAGTATAAACAGAACTTTTTTTATGTACTTAAAGAAGCTCTATTACGATTTCAGACAAAAGTATTCTTAAAAAATTATATATGAATCCAGTTATTGGTAGTTTAAAATTATTTAAAGTCATATAATATTTTGAGAAAATATGCAAAGGATAAACATTTTACATTGCAAAGAAAATTGGATTTGTTCAGATTTTTATACAATAGTTTTGTTTCAAAAGAAATAGGTATAAGTCCAGAATGAGTAGTGCGTAAGCACATGTGTGCAACAAGATGCATGCTCAGTCAGTACATTTTCTTTTCCTTTTATGCCAAGTTTTTCAGTTGTAATGTTCTGATAAAATGAATCTGTAGGTTCAAGGAAGGCAAGAACAGCACCTACTACAACTCATCCTGGGAAAAAACAAGTTTAATGCAATCAGCACCCTTTCATTTTATAGCCTCTCATAAACTAACCCAAATGAGGATGGAAATGAAACTTCCAAAAAAAAAAATAATAATAAGAGGTAACTTCCTTCTGCCACAGAAATATGTAGGCAAAGATTCCTCTAAAAGTTAGGATGAATCTTTTCTGAACAGCAATAAATAAAATTTTAACTGCTGATTATATAGTTATGCAAAATAATGATCAAACTTCCTTCAGAAACTAGAACTACTAATTAACTTAGATACTATGAAAATTGCAAATATTTTATAATTTCTGCAGCTTTATATAAGTATGCATTTGACTTTTAAATATTCTCAATCCTCTATCCTCCACTAAGAAAGGACATCATTTTTTAAGTATGTTCCACACCAGATGGCTTGCTGCTTCCTCATTACAACTAAAGCAAACAGGTACAGCCCTGGAACTCTACTATAATGGTTTCTATAAATTAAATGCTCCCATCAGTTCCTGTATACTTCTTTTTTAATGAAGACTTATTTATTTATTTGAAAGACAGAATTACAAAGAGAGAAGGAGAGAGACAGATCTTCTATACACTGGTTCACTCCCCAAATGGCCACAACAGCCAGGGCTGGGCTAGGCCGAAGCCAGGAGCTTTATATGGGTCTCCCAAATGGATGCAGGGGCCCAAGCACTTGGGCCATCTTCTGCTGCTTTCCCAGGTACATTAGTAGAGAGCTGGATGAGAGTGGAACAGCCAGGACTTGAACCGGCACCCATTTAGGGTGCCAGTGTCACAGCCAGCAGCTTTACCTGCTATGCCACAAAGCTGGCCCCCAGTTCCTGTGCACTTTAACTTGTATATGGCTACATTACTAGGTATCCAGTTGATGTTTCTATATCACTCAAATTTTAAAATAGAAATTTATTATTAGGGCAGTCAACTTAATAGTTAAATAGACTAATTAAACTTAATCACTTCATAATATGATCAGTAAAGATATCTCCCAAACATACACACTACCAGTGTTCTGTTACCTATTTCTAGCATATACTTTAATTTTCATTGGAAGTCCTTTATCTTTAATCACAAATCTATCAAGAAAAATAAAACTGGCATCCTGTTGCCATTCTGCATTTTATGCTAACAAAATAACTACATCTAAATCCACATTTTGAACAGCTAGTTTACATTGTTAATTCAAATATATGAAGTTTTCAAAAATTATTTTGAATACAATTCACCTAACAGAGATAAAGAACATACCAAAAGAGCCAGACAACAGTGACAATTTATTTTAGGTAAGGAGTACACACTACTAGAAAATGTCATTTATGACAACACAAAACCTCTTGACAGTCCAGGGAAATTCACAAATGGCTCTTAAAAACAAGCAAAAATGTTCAATTCTTTTATTATAGGAGAGATTATAAAAGAAATGATCATATATCAATCTTCAGTACCAGACTGAGGAAAAAAATCTGACAACAAACTCTTCACTGAGGCTGTAGGCAGACACATAAACTAATGGTGGAGAAGCAAATGGAGCAATTATTCCATAGAAGGGAAATCATTAATATCTAACATGGTATCTATTCACTCTTGACCCAGTGATCCCACATCTAGGATTTTATCCTAAATATGCAACTACTTAAAGACAGGAAAATAACATATAAAACTATTCACTGCAGCATCCCAAACATCTAACAATAAGAAACTGATCTGAATAAACTACTACAGCCACAACTGAACACTGAGAAAATAGTTTAGAGCTATAAAAAAGTTACTTCTCTGACTTAGAAAAAGTATCTACCAGCAGTCAATCCCAATGAAGACTCAAACAGAACTATGAATATAAAACACTTCTATGTAGCAGAAAGAATAATATACATAAAATACTAACTTGTTTCTAGGAAAGAAACACATGGAAAAAAATCCAGAAATGAATGAAAATAATTACATCCAGGAAGTAGTCATTAAAAGTATAAGGAGAGGATGGAAGCAAGACTTTGGAGTTTTCTTAAAAAAACATATGAGACCGGCACTTGAAGCAATAGGTTAAGCATCCACCTGCTGTGCTGGCATCTCATATAAGTACTGGTTTGAGTCCTGGCTGCTCCACTTCCGATCTGGCTACCTGTTGATGGCCTAGGTAAGCAGTGGAAGATGGTCCAAGTGCTTGGACCATTGCACCCACGTGGGAGACCTAGAAGAAGCTCTTGTCTCCTAGCTTCAGATTGGCCTAGTTCCATGCATTGCAGCCATCTGGGGGGTGAACAAATGGATGGAAGACTTCTTTCTGTCTCTCCCTCTGTCTGTAACTCTGCCTCTCAAATAAATACATAAATCTTTAAAAAATTGTAACTTTTAAAACACATAAATGCTTTAAATAGTCAAAAATTAAAAATTTAAAAATAGTAAATCCCAGTAATATAAACAGAAAAAAATTCTCTATCAAACTGATAACAAAAAATTATTTCAAATAACTTTATTAAACTTCTATACTCTGGGATATATTTAAGGACAAAAAGGCAAATAAACCTTACATTTTATTCACTTTTTTTAAGATTTATTTATTTATTTGAAAGAGTTACACAGAGAGGAGAGGCAGAGAGAGAGCGAGAGCAAGAAAGAGAGAGGTCTTAACATCCGATAGTTCACTCCCCAATTGGCCGCAACGGCCGGAGCTGCACCGATCCGAAGCCAGGAGCCAGGTGCTTCTTCTGGGTCTCCCACGCGGGAGACACATCTTCTATTGCTTTCCCAGGCCATAGCAGAGAGTTGGATCGGAAGTAGAGCAGCCAGGTCTCCAACCGGCACCTTTATGGGATGCCAGCGCTTCAGGCCAGGGCGTTAACCCACTGTACCTCAGTGCCGGCCCCTCTACTTATTGTTAACAGTAATGATTGTTATTTTGTGACTATTACATATATATTTATATATACCTCAGAAAGCCAAATAATATACTAATATAATTGGAGCCAAGATTTTCCTTGTAAACAGTAAGAAAAAACATACTAAAGAAGTAAAGACCGGGCCGGCGCCGCAGCTTACTTGGCTAGTCCTCCGCTAGTCCTCCGCCTGCGGCGCCGGCACCCCAGGTTCTAGTCCCAGTTGGGGCGCCACATTCTGTGCCGGTTGCTCCTCTTTCAGTCCAGCTCTCTGCTGTGGCCCGGGAGTGCAGTGGAGGATGGCCCAGGTCCTTGGGCCCTGCACCCGCATGGGAGACCAGGAGAAAGCACCTGGTTCCTGGCTTTGGATCAGTGCAGCGTGCTGGCTGCAACTCGCCGGCCGTAGCAGCCACTTGGGGGTGAACCAACAGAAAAAGGAAGGCCTTTCTCTCTGTCTGTCTCTGTCTAACTCTGCCTGTCAAAAAAAAAAAAAAAAAAATTGTAATGACCTTTACAC